GTGGGGCTCGATCCCAGGACCCTGGGATCATGACCTGAGCCGAAGGCAGCCGCTTAACCAACTGAGCCACCCAGGCACCCCAAGAATCTTAATATTTCTAAGCCTGGCCTCTTAACAGTGATGTTATTTTGGTTTTAGCCTGATTATCATCTTAGCCTGAATTTTGCCCCTACTAATTGGACACTTTTACTATTGTTACTGTTTAATACAATAAACATTTGGATCATTACCTTTTATTTGAAACAGAATTGCCTTTAGGAAAAGTCTTTAGGTGAACATTCACTGACTTTGTGTTTAACTATGAATGTCTTTTTTTCACACTCAATTTAAAAAATTTATTTATTTTTAATTTTATTTTTAAAATTTAAATTCAATTAACATATAATGTATTATTTGTTTCAGGGGTACAGGTCTGTTATTCATCACTCTTATATAATACCCAGTGCTCAATACAACACATACCCTCCCCAATGTCCATCACCCAGTTACCCCATCCCTCCACTATTTCCCTCCCCTCCAGGAACCCTCAGTTTGTTTCCTATGATTAAGAGTCTCTTATGGTTTTTCTCCCTCTCTGGTTTTATCTTGTTTCATTTTTCCTTTCTTCCCCTATGATCCTCTGCCTTCTTTCTTAAATTCCATATATCGTGCACGCTCATTTTTATAAGGAAGTCTGGGTATAGGATTCAAGGGAAGTGGTTATTTTCTTGAAGCACATTCTATTAACTATATTATACCACCGTGTTCCAGTTTCCATTGGTGCTGATTCGAAGTTAACAATCAGGCTGTTGGTTCTTTCAAAGCAATGTATCTTTTCACTCTGCTTTTAAGATCTTCTCTTTCCCTTTGGAGATCTGTAGCTTTACTGTAGGTCCTGGTATAGAAGAAACCTTTCATTTATCCGATTTGGGATTTACTAGGTTTCCTGGTTCTCAGGATTCATATGTTTCAATAAATTTGGAAGAAATACGAATCACCATCTCATTGAGTATTCTTTTTTTCTGTTATTTCTACTGCTTTCTGAAGCTGATGAAATTTATGTTAAATCTTCTCATTCTATTCTCTATAACCCTCACCCTACGTTTTGTATTTTCTACCTGTTTGGACAGAATTTTAGTTCATTTCTTTTTTTTTCAAAGATTTTTATTTATTAATTTAGAGAGAGAGAATGGGGGGATGGGCAGAGGGAGAGAGAGAATCTCAAGTAGACTCCCTGCTGAGCACAGAGCCCGATGCAGGGCTCCATCTCACAACCCTGAGATCATGACCTGAGCCCAAATCAAGAATTGAACACTTAACTGACTTAGCCACCCAGGTGCCCCTCTAGTTTATTTCTTAAGATTTATCTTCCAGTTCACTATCTTCACTGTATCTAATCTTTTGGATAGTACATTCATTGCATTTTAAATTTCAATGATTATATATTACTTTCTAGAATCAAATATTGTTCAAGTATGGTTGGTCATTTTTTATGGTTTCATGTTCCCTGCTCATATTTCCAAGCTTTTGGTAAATTTCATTAAACATAGTTTTTTAATACTCTGTCAAAAATCTCATTATCTGAGACCTTTGGGTTTGTTGTTTTACTCATAATGTCTTATTTCCTTGTTTGTTCTGATTCTCATTCTGAGTTGTTCATTTTCCAAGGAACTGTATTTTTTGGCATTCTTTGAAGCTGGGGTTGAGGTTGAATTTTCCAAAGCAGTTACAAATTTGCTTCTTTCTGCCAGTTGCCTGAGGACATGGTCCTCTGGGATCATGCTTGAGGTTTTTTGGGCCATATATGTAGGATGAATTAGAATCCCATACTCAAGAGAGAACAAATTTGTGATTATGAATCTTCAGGGAATTTTGTCCTTTTATCCTGTGTCCAAATTTTTGATTTCCTTATGGAACTAGCTTTTATTTCTAATTCCTTCTTATAATTACAGTATAATTCTCTAGAATACTATTTTTATGAGTGTCTCAGTTTAGATTCCTTGCACTGACCAGGTCCTGTGCTTTTTTTCTCACAGGTAAGCCCATAAAACCATCAAAGTGGATGCTAAAGGATCCTAGAGTTTGGCAGAAATGCTCAGAGTAATCCTCATTTTGGAACTTACTTGCCAATCATGTTTCCTGATTTTATCTCATTTTGGGACTCTGTTGATTCCTTACTTTCAAGAAGCCTTACAGATATAGTTATATATTTATAGAGATCGACATATAGTTTAGTTATTTCACCATACATTTTAGTTATTTCAGTAGCAAGTGTGACACAGACTATCTCTTTGACCATACTGCCAGAAATGAAAGTGTCTTTTATTTTATTCCTCTTCTCTTAAACTCACACAAATTTCTTGCTCACCTCCTTAATCACTCAGCCAGGAGAAACTCTCTCCCTTCATAGACATTCAAAGAAATGTTATCTCTTTGTTTCATCGTGTAAAGTGGCCAAAAACTTCTTCCAGTTTACAAAGAAAAGGAAATGGATCCATCTGAGATGTGCTCTGACGAGATGGCAAAGGGCACATAGTCAGGGAAGGATTTTTCATGTCCCCCACGAACTCTGCTCCTGATGTTATTTCTGTGATTATGTTATATTACAGAGCAAAAAGATTTTGTGGATTGTAATTAAGGTTGCTAATCAGTTGACCTTAAGATAAGGAAACCATCTAGGTGGACCTAATCTAATCAGAGGATCTCTTGAAAAGCAGGAAGTTCTCTTCAGCTGGTAGCTTAGTGTCCATGCAAGACAAGGATTCAACTGCGAGCTGGAAGGTGCAAGGACTTGGACAGCAGCCTCTCCGAACTGAGAGCAACTTCTGGCCAGCAGCCAGAAAGAACAGGGGACCTCATTCCTTCAACCACGAGGATCCAGATTCTGCCAACGAGGACAATGAACTTGCAAGCAGATTCCTCCCCCACAGTCACCAAATAAGAGCCTAGTCAAGCTGACAGCTTGATTTCAGCCTGTGAGACTCTCCAGAGACACTCCAGTTGTACCCCCACCTGCATTTTTT